ACATTTTAACCTTGGAATAGTAGAAAGCCTTATATCACAGAGAATCTAACCAGAGAATAGGCTAGACTCTTCCTTGCTTCCGATGGAAAAACATATTCCCAGTACCTACTGAGATGCTGGCCTGTTTGCATGTATTACTTCACCCAACCTGGAACAAGGTGGGAGGACACTGTGACATTCTGGGGAGCCGTTGGGACCAGAGATATGGATGTGAGACTCCCAGGCAAATGGATGATGGTTAAAGCTAAGGCTGGGTGAGGCCACCTGGGGGGAGGACATGGACAGGGAAAGGACATTCAGGATGGCCCTGGGACTCGCCCACACTCAGCGGGGGAGCAGAGAAGCAGCAGGGAGATGGAAAGCAGTGGCCCTGGGACATTCATGGCTGGGTTCCTCTGAGGTTTTGTCATGTGAGTAATGAAACTACTCAACCTCAACCCTGCAGTCACCTTCATGGACGCTGCTGAAGGTGCCCTTGCAGGGGAGAAGATGGGAAGAAGACACCTGGGCAAACTTCGGACAGAGGCAGTGCCCAGCAAGTGCAGACCCAGGCGGCAGTGCCTGCAGGTCCCTGCGAGGTGGGAACCTGCAAAACCCTGGTGACTTTCCATGCTTAGCACCACACGTCTCTTTCCAGGAGACAATGGTGAAAACACCATTGCTGAGATGGGAGGTACGCACGTGTCAGTTAACTGAGGATTACAATCTGACCCATGCTCTCTATTTTTAAGTGTGATTTGGTTGTTTTTTTCCCTGGGAAACCCATCATGGATTAGTGGTGCACAACTTGAGATTTTTAAGGTGTTAGGCAAAGGATTGCAATGGGAGTGGAGCCGAGGTGATCACTAATATGGCCTCAGATATGTGTGGACCCAAAGTAACAAATCATACTTAACCTCCAAACAGTGACGACAGTCCACCTGACACGGGACAACCACCCTCTTGTGGCCAAAACCACACGGACACTTTCCCCAAAAGAGGAGATACAAAGGCCCTTTCTCCATCTTGAAGTGTCGTTCCTCTTGCTGAGACATGCTCCCTATTAGATTTCTAGTAACTTAAATACTGAATTATAAAGTTAACTATGATTAGTATATTTTAGGTTAGATGTTTGGGAAATGGAAGAGGGAGAGAGGAAAAAATGGTTAATATATTAATATAAACAAATGGCTTCACATAAAAATAAGAATGAACTAGTCATAACTATTACAGCCCTCATTTCTGCAACTGGTAATGCAGTTGTAGCTGACATTCATAGCTGTTTCCTTTCACACCCAATCCGTATTCTCTGTGCCTATAGCAAGCACCTGGTGTGGCCAAACTTGCCCAGAAGCAGAAAAGAGAATTCTGGGAAATGTAGCAAGCTTAGCCGTGCTCACCCCCTCTGTAGAAAGCTGGCCCGTTGGTCTGCTGTCTATGGTGATGAAACAAAGTCCTTGTTTTAAATATATCTGTTTAAAGCCTGGGCATAGAAGCCCGTGCCTGTAATCCCAGCACTTTGGGAGGCTGAGGCAGGAGGATCACTTGAGCCCAGGAGTTCAAGACCAGCCTGGGCAACATAGCGAGACTCTGTCTCTACAAAAAATAAATAAATTTTTTAAAAAGAACAATATCAGTCATTTAAGAAAAATATTGTCAATAGTAGTACAAGTGGATATAATAGATACAACATGCAAATGATCAAAGTATGGGAGACACTGACCAATAGGATTAAACACCTCTGGCTTAGAAGCCGTGTACTTCCACAACACCTAGCCCCTGCCTAGCTCTCCCCCTTATTCCACCTCCTTTCTCCCATAGCAACTCCCTTCCGGCTGCCCTGAAACTGTCACTGTTCTAGCCACACCGGGCCCTCTCCGACTCTGACCTTTGCACGTGGTGTGGCTCCTCTCTAGAATGCCTCCCCCTCCAGTCTCCCCAGCACTCACTTTGCAAATGCCTCTGATCCATGAAGACTCTCCCCCAAGGCAGAGGCAGTTGCTCTGTCCCCACTGTCCCTCACAAGGCATGGCTATTTATCTGCATCTCCCTCTCCCACTGGGAAGTCTTCAGCCAACGCCCTTCAATCCCTGGGGCCTGCCTGGCCAGCTGGGCTCTCCCCTCCCTTCTCAGACAAGGCTGTGCCCATCCACCCCATCTGAGCATCTTAAGTCAGGTTTCCCAGAGCAGCCCTGAGAACCCCATTTGTGTGCATGTGATTAATCAAGGAAATGCAGCCAGGGGAGGCCAGAGAGAGCAGAGGACACAGGACAGGAAGGGTGAGAGGCTCGGGGCAAGTCCCACAGTGGGAACCCACCTGCTCCCACACTGGAGCAGGAGTAAAACCTCGGAGCCGTCCCGCCCACTGGCACAGGAGCTGGGCTCTCCCGCCCATACCCCAGTGCCAGCGAAGAGCCACCCTAGGGACACCCACTCCCAAGAACGGCCCATCCTCTGCTGGCATGGAAGAGCCACAGGTGTCAGGGGCTGGGGCCACACATCCATCCAAAGGACCCAGGCAGAGAGACAGGCAGAGAATCAGCAGTTGCTATGGGCCGTTCCTTGCCCCCACGGATCCACGCACATCTCGCGTCAACCCCACTGTGGGTGGAGAACACTGGTGGACATTCGTCCTCGCCCCTTCCATCCGGTTCCAGAGCCTCCTGCCTCCAGCATCCTGCTGGTCTAGGGGCTGCCCTGATGGGGGACTCAGACCTCCACCCCGTGGGGTCGGAGCTCCTGTTGGAGGATCCGGATATCTGCCTCCTCAGTGAATTTAACTCAGGCAAATGGCTCTAGGTCCACTCTAGGGGAAGGGCTGGGGAAGTTACTACTGTCTACGTATCCCCCGCACAGTGATGTTGTAAAGTCTGAGAACTGGCTCAGATCCAGAAGCTGGGAAAGAGATGGTGACTTCCCCCTGGGGAGACTGACCACAGCCTTCAAGGTCACCCCTTGACCTTCTGGGGAGGATATATAGGTCAAGCCATGCCCTCGTTGGCTACCTATCTTTCTCACCCCTGGGGACACCACACTCTATTCCCTGCCATCCCAGGCCCCCTGAGGTCTGAGCCACCCCCACCTTTCTGCCCATTTCAGTAATTACATCCGTCTTGCCCCGGGGATTAAGCACTACATGTAGCCACTGCTGCTCTTGGATTCTGCCACCCAGGGACATAGGGGAGTCCAGTTCCATGACAGCACCTCCAATGCCAGTGCTGGTCTCCCCACAGAGAACAGCCACCCCTGAGCTCCTTGAGGAGGCAGGCCCCCCGCCTCCTGCACATGCCTGCTCTCCTTAGGGGCAGCAGGGCCCCGCCCAGGCACCCTCTGGGTGCCTGCAGGTATGCGGCAGCCCGGTCTTGCGGCTCCCTGGGCGAATAAGCCCTTCCCTCCCTTCACAAAGTCAGCACCCCCAGCCAGGCTGTGCTGCGACTAGAACTTGGTTATAGGTCCCTTGGCCAAGAAGGGAGGTGGAGGCAGGCCGTAAGGGGAGCATGTGTTGCCTTGAAAGACATCTGCCTCAGTGAGACCTTTGTGTGGTCTTCAGGCAAGGGGTGGGGAATACAGCTGCTATCTCTAGAAGGGAAAATGGGTCCCTTCTGTGGTTCAGAGGGTTAGGGAGAAGGTGGGGGCTCAGTGTTCTCAAGCATGTCACCCAGATATCCCCAATCCAAGCTGGAGGGTCCCACTCCATCCACATCAGGGCCCTGATGTGGGCCTAGTCCAGCCATCTCTGAAGTTCTCTGCTTTTGCATTAGGCCCTGTGCCGGGTCTGCAGCAGCCTGCCCTTGGCTGAAGAAAATGGGGGTCTCTGAACCCTGCACGGGGGCCTTCTGGCTGCCCTTTGTGACTTCAGTTGATGACTGTGGGCCTGAACCCCTCATTTTCCTTCATCATGGCATGAACTGTGCTCGGCCAAGCCAAACAATCCCACAGTCCCTGTAGTGACCACTGCCCTACGCATATCCCGTGCTCCCTTGAGCCTCAGCACCCCTCTCATCCAATAGCCTGTCCTGCTTATCAGTAAAGCAGCCAGAGGCAACCGCCACTCACTGACCCCCCCACAAGCAGCTCCCTGTTGCTACGTGTTGGGCGAGTGACCCAAACCCAGAATTCCACTTTTGGACTCTGCTTCCCAGGATCACTGGTGACGCCATTAGTCTCAGGGCAGGCTCCTGGGAAACTGACCTTGAAATGAGGATTTACGAGTGAGTGATGTATTAAGGACCTGCTCCCTGGTGGTGTCAGAGCAAGAGAAGTGGGACAAGGAAGGAGAGGAAGTGGAGTAAAGGTGCAGTCTCAAGCAAAATTCTGCAAAGGTTGCTTCATTGGATCCCACAGCCAAAGTCAAATGTGATTCACTCCTCAGAGTCGCCCTGGCCAGGAGCGGTAGAGCTTGGCTTGCTGCCTCCTCCCACACCTGTCTGAACAGGTCAAGGGACAGCATGGGGGAAGGCACTTCTCAGGACATCTGGCTTTCTGCACCAGGGGGTTAAAGGGGCCCCAGCAGGGTCGCCCTTCAAAGGGCTGGGGCTAGGGACAGCTGGAGGTAAAAACTAGGGGCGGGAGGACACAGAACTGGGGCCTGGTATCACAGGTAACCGGGGCCTGAGAGTATCTGGCTGATTGAGTCTCAGAATCAAGGACTCTCAGTGCTGAATGGGACATCCAGGCTCACGACCCCCCCCCCCAGCAGCCATGCAACACAGGGGACTCACCACCAAGGTAGCACTCCTGGCTGCAGCTGGACTGAACTGAACTGATCCAGGCTTGTGCTTCCAAAGCTGTGCTACCTGTGGTCCCTGTCCCTCCCATGAGGGTCTTACTAAGTAAGTGATTTCCCAGCCAAGGGCCTCAGGCTGGACGGTGGGTCTGCGGGTGGGGAGGACCCAGCAATGAACCTGAACAGGAATTTCCATGTTCATGAGCAACCACAACAATTTTCCTTAGAAATGAAGCCCCGTGACAGGACCCCAAATCCAGAGGCGAAAACACAAAGACAGGACACTATTTCTTCATTTTAATTTATTTTTCATTTTTTGTTTCTCACTTACCAACACATTTGTAAAAATGTAGCAGGCTGTGTTAGTAAAGGAGAAGCAGGGAAGAGAAGGGCAGGAAAGAAGCGGCCACACATGAAAAGTCAAGTGGAGCAGGGAGTGCTTGGGGACCACAGGTGGTGGGTGACTGCCCCCTCCCCACCCCCTTTCCACAAAGCATCAGCAACTGCTGCTGCTCTCACAGCCCCGGCCCCAGACTATTTGGTAAACGTAATAAAGAGCATTTCTGTTGCCCCCCGTCCTTGTCCCCAACATTCTTCCCACAGCCCCAGTATGGGGCAGGGTCTGCTTGGCAGCCTGCCCCTACCCCCATCATAGCCTGGTTCAGAACCCAGCCCCTGGTGTCAAGGTGCCCGGCCCCGGGCAGTATCTGAGAAGCCTAGAGCCGGTGGATCCCAGGGAGACCACAGTGGGGATACCTAGGAGTTCTTTCTAGACTCTTCTATCACTTTGGAGAACACCCCTAGAATGCCCCTGCTTCAGCCATAGGCTCTTACTCCAGAGGACATTAAGGGGTGCAGTGGGCTCAGAAGCGCCACAGCAGAGCCTCGGGCTCCCTTGGAGGGAAGGTTTCACCTTCGGCTCAGAGCACATCTCCCCGGCATTTATTTGCACATTGACCCGGGGAACACTCCCACCCTGTGTTTATAAACACAGGCATTTTCAACAGAATTGCATCCACCCCGATGAATTTTCATCCTAGAAAGTATTTTCAAGGCAAATGCCCCTGAGGACAACTCAATGCCTTAATCAGTTTTCTACATAGTGCACATAAAGTTTCCCTTTTTTGCCCGTTTTTCTCCTTGAAATAATATCACCAGGATCAAATCTTTCCCATGCTCGTTTCACATGTGTTTGATTCCCTGGTTTGTGTCCGGTCCGCATCAAATGTCACCAATTGTGACTGGGAGCTTCCTCTGTGGGTCTCCTTTCTCTCTGGGCAGCCCTCTCGGCCACCGCTGCTCAGGAACAAGTGTGTCCCACATGCTGTTTCAGCCCCAGTTGGCTTTTGTGGATGGTTTTGGGGGATAATCTGTGAACCTCGTACTTCGAGGGACTCCAGGCCACGATGGAAGCTGGCTTCCCCCAAGGCCATTCCAGGATGTCTCCAACGAGCAACCACAGGCCGGGGTCGAGATGTCCTCTCCCTGCGCCCCGGGCGTGGCACTTCCCGCAGGCAGCGTGGTTTAGGGGCTCACGGTGCCTTGGCGGGGGCGGTGGCCTGCTCGGCGCGCTGGGGACCTCCGGGAGCCGCGGGCCGCGGGGGGCGCAGCAGGCCTAGGCCCCGCGAGCGGCCGGCGCCGTGCAGCTGGCGCTCGTGGCGGCGGATCTGCACCTTGTGGCGGAAGCGCTCGCCGCAGTCCTCGCAGACGTAGGGCCGCTCGCCGGAGTGCGTGCGCCGGTGGCGCAGCAGGTTGGAGGACACGCTGAAACGCTTGCCACAGTCGCTGCAGGCGTAGGGCCGCTCGCCCGTGTGCGTGCGCTGGTGCTGCACGAGTGCCGAGCTCTCGCTGAAGCGCTTGTTGCAGTAGGAGCAGGCGTAGGGCTTCTCGCCCGTGTGGATGCGCTGGTGCGTCACCAAGTTCGAGTGCTGCGAGAAGGCCTTGCCGCACTCGCCGCAAAGGTACGGCCTCTCGCCCGTGTGCGTGGCCTGGTGCCGCACCAGGTCTGTGCTGCGGCTGAAGCCCTTGCCACACACCCCGCAGATGGTCGGCCGGTCCCGGGCGCGCCGCCGCCGCCGCTGCCGCGCAGGTGTCAGCGCCGCGCTGCCCGCCGGGCCCGGGATGGCCACCACCGTCGGCGTGGCCACGGCGGGCAACACCATGAGCTCCTGCAGCACTACGTAGCCTGGCGGGGCCACCACGACTGCGGCAGGAGCCCCTGGCACAGCCGCCCCACCGCCCCCTGCAGCAGGCACCAGTTCCAGCTGCAGCTCTGGCTGCTGGGCGCCCAGCTCCACGGGGGTCAGCTCCAGCTGCACCTCTTGCTGCTCCAGCTGCTGCTGCTCCAGCTGCTGCTGCTCCAGCTGTTGCTGCTGCTCCAGGTGTTGCTCCAGCTGCTGCAGCTGCTCCTGCAGTTTCAGCTGCAGCTGCCTCTGCTCTTGCTGCCGCTCCAGTTCCTGCTGCCGCTCCAACTCCTGCCGCTGCTGCTCCAACTCCTGCTCCTGCTCTGACCCCAGGTCTACCGGCATCAGCTCCAGCTCCACCTCTTCCTCCTCCTCTGGCTCCCTTGGAGGGGGCTGCCGCTGCAGCTGCTGTTGCTGTTGCAACTGTACCTGCTGCTGTTGTAGTTGTTCCTGCTGCTGCAGCAATAGCTGCTGCTGTAACTGTACCTGCTGCTGCTGTAACTGTACCTGCTGCTGCTGCAGCAGCTGCTGCTGCAACTGTGCCTGCTGCTGCTGCAACAGCTGCTGCTGTAATTGTGCCTGCTGCTGTAGCAACAATAACTGCTGCTGCTGCTGTTGGAACTGTTGCTGATGTAGCAGCTGCTGCTGCTGTAACTGTGCCTGCTGTTGCTGCAACAATGGTGGCACTTGCTGCTGCTGTAACTGTTCCTGCCGTTGTTGCAATAATGGTTGCATTTGTTGCTGCTGTAACTGTTCCTGCTGTTGCTGCACAAACTGTTGCCCTTGCACTTGCTGCTGCTGTAATTGCCCCTGCTGTTGCTCTTGCACTTGTTGCTGCTGTAACTGTTTCTGCTGCTGCAGCAACACTTGTTGCTCTTGCACTTGCTGCTGCTTTAACTGTTCGTGCTGCTGCTGTAATAGCTGTTGCTCTTGCACTTGCTGTTCCTGTATCTGTTGTTGCTGTTGCATTCGCTGCAGTTCTGGCTTCAGTTCCTGGTGCTGCATGGATTGGTGTTTTTCCTGTACTTCCTGCTGTAATTGAGACAGCTGCTGTTGCCCATCCTGCTGCTGCTGCTGCTGCTGCAATTCTGGCTGATGTGCTAATAGTTGGTTTTGTGGTTGCTGTTGTTGCAGCTCTGGCTGCTGCTCTGACTGTTTCGACTCCTGTTTTTCCAGCCGGGCTTCCTCAGTGATTTTCCTGGCCTTTGTTGGGGCTGTCATTGCTGGCTGTGGTGGGCTGCTCCTCCCCTCCTGAGCCTCTTCCTCCTCCTGACTCTCGCTCCCACCGCTGCCACCTGTAGCAGAAATGGCAGGAAGCCAGGAAAGAAAGATCTACAGGTAGCTCTCCAGTCCAGAACCCCAGGACCTGTCCCCTTCTCCTGCCCATGTACAGCCACTCAAAGATACCCTAATTGCTCTCAGCAGGGACCCAAAAGTGCTGGATTAAATGACGATGGTAGTACAGCAGAGACTGAAATGCTGTGGGGGTGGTGGGAGTGTGGCTTAGAAAATATGCCCAAGGGACTGCTGGTCACCCCAGTTTGGACGCCAGCTCTGTGACCTCTCCAGTGGGCTTCCCTTCACACAAGCTCCATGCTTGTGTGACACTGACACCAGCATGGGTGCCTGGGGCTCCCTGACACCATTCCCTGAGAAATCTCTTGTGCTTAGTCGCCATCCAGTGGAACTCAGTGAACTGACTATTCCAACAGCCAAGCCATCAACCCTGTGCTGAACTCTGACCTCAACCATGGTCATACCTTAAATAAATGCAACTCACCTTCTCTGTAAATAGTAAAGAATTTCTGTAAAGCTGCCTAGAAGTGTTACCACTAGTAGTCTCCAAAAATCACCAATGTGTCAGAGAGACGACTAGATTCCAGGTAGGAAGTCCTCAGCTCAGAACCTAACTCTATGGTTGGCAGCTGTACAATCTCCGACAGGCTCACAGCTTGGCAAGACCCACACCATCCCCTTAAGGAGGGAAAGCAGGAAGGACCCTGGCATATTCCCTAGAACCTAGTTGGTGCTTAAAAATTCCCTTTCCTGGCAGGGTCAGAGTTAGTTTGCAAAATAATAAAAAGTACCAAGGATACAACCAGCTTCATTTGAAACTGTCTAAAGACTGGAAGTGTTTAAATTGTCGTTCAGGAATGGAAAGGACTGATTCACAGCCTCAACCTGATGACTGATCAATTACTTAACCTCTGGGAACCTCAGTTTCCCCTTCTGCTAAAGGACATAAATCCTTTTCAGGGATGTTGTGAGAAGGAGGATAACTGTGGAGCACCGGAGTTGAGTAAGGCACAGGGTAAGCGCTGCATAACCCAGAATCACTCCCTCGCGAGGTTTCCCTTTCTGCACGATGTCCACATTCAGCTTCTCATTCTGAGTGTGACTATTGTGCTATCCAGAAATCCTAATTCTTCTTTGCATGGGTGACCCTAGGAAGCTTTCTCCATTCCCAAGTCTGATTTCAGCATCTCTTCTTCTTACAGCACCACAGTTTCAGTCTTTAATGGAAAGTAATGGTTTGATTTATAAAATTGTGCTTTCTGGCCACATTTCCAGGAATATCTTGATTTAACAAAACCAAGGGATATCTGCATGTATATAATTTCCTTTCAGTAAAATAATACTAATAACCTTTGCTTAGGCTAATGGATCAGTGAGTTGATGTTTTCATAGACACTCACACCCCTTGGGAGGATGCACATGGCAGATAAAGACAGCCACAGAAACCTGTCCCCTTTTGGGGACATTGGACATTAGTGAGTCCAATGTCTCATGGACATGCCCTTCTCCCACCTCCTCTGGAAGCAAGAGGGACAGATCATGCCTCAGTGCAAATCTCATTTCTAGCACAGTGCTTGGCCACATGGCAGCTCTGACTTCCTGGGACAGCAGTTTCAGCATTTTTAACAAAGGTATTTTAGTGTTAGGTGTTGTCTGATGTGTACACCCTCACAAGATTTGTCAGTTAAATTTGTAAGTCAAAAGAATCCTTGTTTAGTCCACACATCCCCATCCAACCCTCCAATTCCCTTGGTCCTTTTGAAGCTCTGTCCAACTCTGCCCCGCTGCCCAGCACTCTTAAAACACAGAATGGGAAACCAGCTCTGGAGAGTGTGGCCACCAGAGTGTGGCCACCAGCATGGGTCCCAGAAAGAGAGGTCTTGGGAGGTTCTGCAGGACCATGTGTGCCTCTAGACATCAGGTAGAGAAAAACGGAAGCAGATGTCGAGGAAAAGTGGACAAGGTTAGAGGCCACAGGGGACAAGAAGCTATGGAGCCAATGTCTGAGACAGGAGGTTAAAAGAAGGGAGCCTGCCAGTACCTTAATTCCATCAAGGAAATTAAGTCGAAAGCCAGGGCCAGGTAGGAGGATAATGGCAGCCCCTAACTGCTGAGGACACGGAGCAGTGGGTTCCAGCTAGCATAAATGTGGGGGCTGGGGGCTGAGACAGTCATACTGCTGGGGACCTCCTCACCAGTGGGACCTCCACCTGACAGAGCCATGGTGGAAAATCTCCAGGCAAAGCTGCCGTGTTACCCGCGTGAGCCAGTGCAGGCTGCCCACCACCCTCCGGCCTTTTTCTTCCACAGCAGGCCTGGGACATTGTCAAGGATCCTTGAGGGGTCTAAGAGCCCTTCCCAGCCTCTCACCTGAGAGGGTGTCAGGCCCCGGGCCCCCATCCTCAAGACATCGCAGCTTCAGCACGAAGGTCTTGGTTGCCGGCCCCACCTCCATCCTAGCGGTCAGACCCGGATCCCGGGGAGCCGGCTGTGCTGAGAGGAAGGAAGGAAGCTGTTCAGATGGGCCAGTGTGCAGCAAGCCCCCAGCTGGGTGCCACCAACCCCCAAAGGCCCTTCACTTCTGCCTCAGGCTACCCCAGAGCTGGCAGCTCCACCCCTGCTGCAAAAACTGCAAAAGCTGCAAAAGTGGCACAGCACAGGTCACAGCGGGGAAGAGGGGGTGAGGGTAGCCTGGAGGGTCAGGGCTGGGGACGTGGCGGCAGCTCCTGGACCCTGTTCCTGCACAGAGGCATGGCTGCTTCTCCTATCTTTGCACAGGGCTCCTAGGGCAGCCAATGCAGCTGTGTCTCACTGAGACAACTGCAGGCATCAGCCCCTCTCGAGACAGGGGAGCTGAGGTCACAGAAATGACATTTGGGAGAGCTCTCTAACAAAAGAGAGACTGTCCACTAACATTCCCCCTGACCCCTTCAGCTCTTGCCTCCGTGGCCTACTCTGGGGGTCCATCCAGCCTTCTAAGGCCACCAGCAGGCCACCAGTGCCTGGTGCCACCTCAGCGCCCTGGGAGGCAGGTGTCCAGAGCACTATAACACATGGCAGCGCAGGCTGCCCGCCTGGCCCTGTGCCCAGAGCTCCTGAGAGCCCACCCTGGCTGCACAGAGGTGGCCCCACAACTAGTCCTCCCCTCTCGCCCAGACTGGCTGACTCCACGTCCCTCTAGCTTTTCGGAATCCAGTCCGAGTCCTCTTCAGGGAAGCGTCCCGGTGGCCCAGGCCAGCTACCCACTGGGCCTCACCTGGTACAGCATTTCCTGCTCCCGGGGCAGCCTCTGCGCTAGGGGAGGTGTGGTCAGCAGAGGCTGCAAGGTGAAGGCCAAAGCATGCAGCTGGCTCCTTGCGGAAGCGCCTCCATCCAGAAAGAGCCAGGGAGGCGCGAGCCCACCCGGTGGCCTTTCTGGGCACTTCGTAGGGTCGGCACTGTCAGGGCTGCTGAGGTCGCCCTGTGCCAAAAGAAGGGGCAAAGTGGAGCTCCGGAGTAGAAGTTGGTGGAGACTCCTGGGCTGAGGATAGTGGCGCAGGGCTCAGGGCTGGTCAGGCGGGACCATCTCCGGCAGCAGGGTCCTGGCCCGCCCCCGAGGTCGGCACCGTGGGGTGGCCCAGTCTCAGGCCGGCGGTGCCCGGGCGACAGGAGTCCTCGGTGGCCCGCGGCCACAGGTGCCCGGAGCCCGCGGGCGGCCTGGGCCGGGCCGGCGCGGCCAGGCGGGGCGGCGCCGCGGCGGGCGGGTCCCCTGCGCTCGCCGCCGCCCGTCCTTGCGTCCGTGCGGGCCGCGGCCGGCCGGGGGCGGGGCGCGGGGCCGCACAGCGAGATCCCCCCCGGCATCCGCATCCTGTCCCCCGCCCCTGCCGCCCGCGCCCCGCGCCCCGGCCCCCGCCACCGCCGCTCTAGGCCGCCGCTGCTCTGTGGGCTTAACCCTTCCCGGCCCGGCCACTCACCCGGGCCGGGGGACTGGATGCGGGGCCCTGCGTGCGTCCCGGGCAGCCGGCGCGGAGCGCAGCGCGCGCTGTGCCGCATCCCTGGTGCGCGTGTCCGCGCGCCACGGCTGGCGACTGTCGCTGCTTGGGTGTCTGCGGGGCTCCCAGACCGGTCTCTGCCACCCCCTGAAGGGCAGGCGTGGGCTCAGGGCGCCGCTGGCCAGAGTACAAATTGTGGCTAATTAGCGCCCAATTAGATGGCGCTGAGTTAATGGGAAGACGCCACCCTGCGCCTGAGCAGGGCCTAAAGAGGCCGTCCCCATCCACACCGTGGAGCCCTCCTCCCAGACCCCTGGGTTGGCAAAGGGCGGGGAGTCTGCGCCAGCCGGTCAGTAGGCTGTGACCCACATGGATCAAACGGGCCATCCATCGAGGCCACCCTGGTGAGCTGGCAGAGCTGGGCTCCACCCTCTGCACCCCCTGCTCCGTTCCTCTGCCCGCAAGGCCAGTGGTCCCACCTCTTCCCCCCTCTCTCCCCCTCTCCCATGCGGACTTGCCAAGCTGCTTCCTGCCTGGATCAGGGGTCTCCTCTCAGGGAGCCCTTCCCCAACCATCTGAATATCCCACCAACCATCTCAATATCCCAGCGCTTTGCTTTCCTGTTCTCAGAGCACAGACTTCCAATCTGGAGAATTCACAGTCAAATCCGGATGCTCAAATTCTCTTGAAAAACCTCAAGATCTGGGGACAGAGAGTTGTTCCTCGGGTGCAGTAGGAATGCCCCCACGAAGGGGATATGATCCCCTCGATACTGTCTCCCTGGCCCCCACAGGTACTGGAGTTTTGGGCTTCCCCTCTGGCCCTTGCCTGAAAAACATGCACTCTGGCAGCTTCACTCCCAGACTAGGAGCTTGGGGGACAGAAGGACACGTGTGACACTTGGTGGGGGGACAAGTGCAGCAATAGGAACCCAGCTTTGGAGGCAGAATTACCTGGGGACCTCCTGATGCCAGGTAACTAGAGGCCAGTGAAGTGGAGACAGCAGCCACTAGAGATAGCAGGAAGTGGGGTAAGTGAGCACATGAGGAGGAGAAGGCCAGTGTAAGCTAAGGGCAGGTGTACACTGTCCCTCCTCTCCTGCCTCCTGCAGACCTCACAACTGTCCCATCGCCCAGTCTTTAGCCTCTCCCTCTGCTGGCTTCTTGTCAAACATCCACCGTCCTCAGGGCTCTCGCACCTTAAAAACATGGAACCCAGCTTCTCTCTCCTGCCCTTGGTGGCCAAACTTCCTTTCTCTATGTCCCCATCTGCCTATCCCACCTTCTCTCCAGCCTGGCGTCCACCGAACCACTCTAGCCAGACAGCACTACCCCTGCCAAGTGTCACCAGCAACCTCCGTGTCACTAAATCCTGAATCTCATTGTTTGGCCTCTGAGCAGCCTTGGACCTGTCTGCCGAGCTGCACAGAGAAACAGCTTGGTTCCCCTTCCTCTGTCTGCCCCTTCTCTGAGCCCTCTAGGCTCTGCTTCCTTCCCTGGGCTCACTGCCCGCCCATGCAGGATGGAAACATGCAGGGAAGGTCTCGATGAACCCAGTTTCTCCCCAGGGCCATTCCTGCTGGCCACCCATTCCTGAGCACCTGACTCCAAAGCCACCCTTTTTCTTCCTTGTTTTCCTCTTTAATTTTCTTTTTTCTTTCTTTCTTGCTTCTTCTTTTTTTCTGAGACAGGGTCTTGCTCTGTTGCCCAGGTTAGAGCCCAGTGATGTCATCATAGCTCACTGTAGCCTCAAACTCCTGGGCTCAAGCGATCCTCCTGCCTCAGCCTCATGAGCAGCTGGGACTACAGGCACACACCACTATGCCTGGCTAATGGTTTTATTTTATTTTTTGTAGAGATGAGGGTCTCACAATGTCGCCCAGGCTGGTCTCAAACTCTTGGCCTCAAGTGATCCTCCCACCTCAGCCTACTTACCAAAGTGCTGAGATTACAGGTGTGAGCCACTGTGCCCAGCCTTTTCTCTTTAGTTTTCATCAAGGTATTATATATGCCTAGTTGAATAAGTCAATTAGTTCTATAAGCCTTTTAGCAACAACAACAAAAAAATCTCTCCTTACTTCTGAAGAGTGGACACTCCCCTTCTCTTCTGGTATTTGTCACCATATTTTTAAATGGCATGCTTATAATGCTAGTAGTTCACCTTTTCCCCCCACTTTAGATAGTGTGTATTGACATCTCACTTTGGAAGATGAAAATTCAACTCTTGAAACCATATATACACATGCACACTGTCCCTCTCATCATGCTATTGTACAATAAGGGTTTTGTCTGGTCTTTGTCCTGAGTCCATGAGACAGAGTTTCTAAACACTTGGCCTGTCCCAGTGATAGGAATGTCTTTGTTACTTATGGTGGGCCCTTCCTGAGTTTATGCTAATGAGGTGACTGGAGGTGGGCCTCTAGATAGCTTCTGGATGGAGGCTGGTCATATCAGAAAGACCATCCATGTGATTGGGGTTGGGGTATTGAGCCCTGTGACATCCACCTGGCCCCTGGGCAGAGAAGAGGGCTGGAGATTGAGTTCAAGCACATGACCAGTGATTAAATCAATCATGCCTACATAGGAAGACCCCAATAAAAACTCTGGACACAAGGCTCTGGCGAGCTTCCTGATTTATGATAAATACCCTTGTACAGGGAGACTGATGTGTCTTGATTCCACAGGGCAAGAATACAGAAGCTCCACATTCAGGACCCTCCCAGATCATGCCCTACAGGTCTCTTCCTAGACCACAGCTGGTTCTGGAGTGTGTCATTTATAATAAAAACTGTAATTATAACCAAAGTGCTTTCCTGAATTCTGTGAGTTGATCTAGGGAATTATCAAACTTGAGTGGGTCATGGGAACCCCCAAACTTGTAGCCAGTCAGTCAAATGTGTGTGGGTAGCTTGGGAACCCTGGAATTTATATCTAGTGTCTGAAGGAAAGGCGTCTTTTTGGGGACTGTGCCCTTAACCTGTCTGTGCTAATTCTGATGGTTAGCACCAGAATTGCATTGCAGTGCTGCACCTCTCAATATAGTTTTATTGCAGGGTCAGTTAAATCCATGTTTACTGTTTCCATAATTATATCTATGTAAATATCCTTCACTGCTAAGCCCAGTATTTTTATTAGTTTCCTTCTGTACAACTCTTAATTCTTTTTGGAGTTAATCATTCTCTTTTCTTTTTCTTTTTCTTTTTTTTTTCAGTTTTATTTGCTTTGATTATTCTTAGAATCTCTTAATAAATCTTCCCACACTCTCCTCTGGCTCTGTAAACACCACTCATTCCAACTTTCCACCCAGCCAAACTGGTCTGAAATTTATTGTTTCATTTTGTTTCCTGGGGACATCCCTCTGGAGCCTCCTTCCTGTGGATCCATGTTGGGCAGGTTGCCCTCAGGGCTGCTTTCCAGCTGTCCATCTGGGACTCTCCCCTGCCGTCATTCCACGACTTTGTCTCCCATGCTCACGCTAATCTCTGTTTTCTCACACCACCTCGTTCTCTTTCTTGATTAAATCATTGTGACAGAGACACTAAGAGCTCACCAAACATTCCAAGTGCTCCCCTAAATTTCCAAGTCTTCCAACCAATTAAGTTAGAGCTAAATGATTAATTTGGCCAGGGAACTATGAAAGGAAGGTACACACACTACTTCTGAGCCCAAGCACTGAGGAGCTGTGTGCCACCTCCATCTCACTCCCCCCTGCCCTGGTAGCGCTGGGGGAAATGTGTTCCAGATGGTGCAACTGTGAAATAGTGGAACTTCAGTCTGCCTGAATCCCTCAAACTCCAGTCGGAAAAACAGAAGAACTCTTAAGTACTTAACGGAACATTGAATACAAGGGAATAACAGCAAACATGTTGAAAGGGCTGGAGTATGACAAAGGAGAAGATGTGCTACCAGAGATTAGTACCCCTAAGGCTACGGGAACAAAAGGGGACACACCCAGGCCTGTTGGTGAAGAATGACTGTGTCACAGGTTTGGTTCCTGGGAAGCTGCCTCTGGGAGAGAGGTGAGCATGCCAGAGCCTCCCTGTGGAGGGTTCTTGCCTTAGTGAACTAGAGGGGAAAAGAGAAGGAAGTGGCGCTGGGCGAAGGGAGGCTTTGGACTGTGATATGGTCTCAGCTGACTCCATGAGGACCTGGGAAGCCAGGTCACGTGTTCATTCTCAGCTAATCAGCACAGGGGCTGCAATGCTCAGCTTTGCCACTCCTGTGTCCCCTACTAGGGTCAAGGAAGCCAGGGCCTAAGGGCTGCAATCAGGATGCTCTCAGTAGAAGGAAAAGAGGGACCGAGGGACTGGAGGTTGAGTGGACAAAAACAACAAAGAGCCATCATAACTAGAATATATCGTTATTTATTTATAATATACACATTGACTTGCAACAGCTTGCTTTTTAGGGGGGCAGGGAACGGTCTCACTCTGTCACCCAGGCTGGAGTGTGGTGGCACCATCATGGCTCACTGCAGCCTCAAACTCCTGGGTTCAAGTGATCCTCCCACCTCAACCTCCTGAGCAGCTGGGACTACGGGCACACACCACAACACCTGGCTAATAACTTGCTTTTTAAACACAATATACTTCAGATGTCTTCCCAAGTAGAACAGATAGCTACCTAATTTAAATTTTAAAACTCTCCCTAGCCTCTAATTGCAAGGATATACCTTAATTTATTTAACCAGTCCCCTACAAATAATTAAGCTGTGTTCTGTTTTTTGCTAT